AAGTTGAATCAAGCCTTAGCAATCCACGAGTTACTGAATATTTTATCACTACCTGAAAAATTTATGATTTGTAAGCTTATTTTCTTGATTATTATGTCTCCCTTATTGAATAGAGTACTAAAAGGAAAGGGACATTGTTATATTCCTCACTATATCGTCATAAGCTGAAGCTAAAACAATGTCTGCCAGATAATAGGCAAATGATAAATATTTAATCAATGAATGAATGTAGTTATCTAAACTTCACTAATGAAGAAATAATCTTAGAGAGATTATTGTTTATCCAGCACCACAAATTTATTCAACCATTTGTGACCAGTAAAAATGGTCATTTCATATGGGTTCAACCTAAAAGTGGCAGAATGGAGATAAGAATGAAAGTCTTCTGATTTTTGACCCAGTACTCTTTTCATTGCAATATACTGACTACTGGTTATGATTCAGATTGCAAAATTATTCTGCATTAAAAAATAATTTACCGTATATTACAGCTTATACTCCTGTATATTTAAAATAGGATCCAATTAATAAAAATGTCACTTATATTCAACATTCCAGGAAAAAGGAGGAAAGGAAATTAAAGTTACTTGAGGAATACTTAGGTACTCATTATGTGTCATTACACTTAATCCTCATATTAGTTCCATTTCACAGGTGATAAAATCAAACATCAGTTGGGTAAATAGTCTAGACTGGGGTTTCCCATCTAGTAAGCAGTGAGGCTAGGTATGTCTCATTCTAAAGCCTGTGCTCTTCCTAGTGTACCAAATGCTATTTTACTGATTATAATCTGTAAAGCACTTGATAAATGTAAATTATTAAATTACCTACATCCTCCATTTAATTGACTTCATCAACCTCAGAAGCATAGTGATATTTATATCTAATAAAGAACGTTCCTGCTACCTTTAAAATGGATCCACATTTTTAACAGCAGACAGCTGCTTCTGGTTAGACAATTTTCAAAGTTAGACCATGGAACATTACAAGGCAAGACATTTGAAATTTTTCTCCAGTTCTTGTTCATGCATCAAATCTATAATTTCTTGACCACGTAAGATTTGTACAGTCTGTACACTTGAGTTAGTTAACTAGCGGCTTAGAAAAAAGGAGAAGTGTGAATTCAGAAAAGCAGCTGCTTCTAAATGGAATGATGTCAGGCAGTCTCAAAATAAGCTTGGTCCAAGATTGCTTATTCTCCTGTGAATTGGTTGGTACTTCTTGAAACTTCCTCACTTTGCAATGATTATATTAAATCACTTCTCTATTTCTGTAAGATTAGGCTATCAGTGGTTTAAAACCTATTTGTAGAAACCAGCCTCTTTTTCAAATGGAATCTTATGTGAAACATTAGTATGTAAATCAGATAAGATTAAAAAAACCCAAAATGGTGATCTCTGAAATGGGAGCCCAGAGGCACATCAGCTGTGCTCTAGCTTGGGTGTAGAAAGGAGGATTGCCAAGGCCCTCTGCTGAATGCCCACGAAAGACCTCTAAGGTCCCTTGCAAGTCAAAAATTCTTTGAACTAAATGGCTCTGTTGAGTATGTGTTGGTTATCTTATTGCCGTGAAAGCCAGTTGTATTCAACAAGGGGAAAATAACAGTAACTGTCTTTTTCTGGGAACATCTGGTCTGGAAATTAGAGCACTTTAGTTCCAATCCCAGCTTTGCCACTATTTAGGTTTGTTGCCTTGGATGCTGTTGCCCATCTATAAAATGAGGATAAAGCGTTCTCTACCTACTTTATTTTAAAATACATTTTCTTGTGAAGTTAAAATTTCCCTTTGACAAAAATTAGAGTACAATTGTAAGGTATTGCCTTCAGGAAGTTATATGACTAGAGGTGTGGATATAGATTTTTTATGCCAAAGTCACTGCTGTACATTACTACCTCTGTTTATATTATAATTATAATAAAATTAAAAGCTTGAAATATAAGTTCTATTAGAGGTAAGTATTCATTTTCATTTGTGTGTAGTTACAAGATTTTTCCAGAAGAAAGTGGGAGAATTCCTTTATTTAAAAAAAAAAAAACCTTGGTTTTTAGAGTTGATAATTTATCAAATTAATGCATAATCCTTATTAAAATACAGAAATAAAAAAAGAAATTCCCCCATCTAGACTTACAACAAGTGACATTTTAAGATATTCAATATACATCTAAGATACAGACAGACAGTAAGTAGGTAGATAGGTAAATATAGGTAGGGTGAAAATGAAACTAATTGGTGAACAAAAATGTGAATCATACACTACACATTATTTTAAAACAAAAAATAACTTTTTACTTTTATTTAACGAAGTTAAAGGAAATTGAAGTGAAACTGTAAGAATTGCTGAATTTTAGACAAATGTTTCTTCACTATGAAAGTTATTAGTTCCTAAATTTTTTTGAAGTTATGAAAAACAATAAGAGGTTGGAATCATTATGTAAAAGTTTTTTTAAAATTCTCTTCTAGACTATATCTATGGATCCCATGTGATGCAAGATGAGAAAATTAGCACATTTACTCTTCCACCATACTCTTGATTTTTGTGTTATTACTTACATTCTGTTCTGTGACCATAATTCCCAGTTATTTAATCTCAGTTTTATATTTAAATGAATTAAAAGTTATTTATTAATCCTTTTACAATGGCTTCCATATTCCCTATTCCTATATTATTTTGATTTGATTTTTGTTGGCTGAGTTTCATCACCTAATTTTATTTCCAAGCTTGATACATCCTGTCCTTTTTCTTTATATCTGAGGAGCATCTGCCTGTTGTAATCATTCTGAGTTATGTATGGCTGACTAAAAATATGTTTGTCCTCCAACAAACATACACATAAGAGATTTTAACAAGTTGGAAGTTTATTGCTTTCTCACATAATAGAAGTCCAGAGCACCATAAACTCGTCAGGAACCCGTAGTCTTTCCAGCTTACTGCTCTACCATTTCTTAGAGAATAGTCCTTGTCCTCATGGTCTAAGAATGCTTGAGTGCCAGCCATCATATTCAGATTTCAGGCAGCAGAATGAAGGAAGGAGTCAAGAAGGATAGGCCCCCACCTTTAAGGAGATTTCTCTGAAGTGGCACACATCTTTTCTGCATGTATTTTACTAGATAAAACTTAATTACGTGACTATGGGATATATAGTCTTTTAGCTGATGGCAATTGTCTAGCTCAAAATCTGTGTTCTCAGTGTTAAGAAGGAAGAAAATGAATATGGAGAAATAACCAGCAACCTTTGCTTGCCACACGTGAATATAGAGTTTGGAGTTATGCTTTCATGCTCTCAAAACTGTGTAGACCTGGACCATTATCTTCAAGCATTTGAATATCACTGAGGAGATGTCTGAAGTCAACCTAAGTCTTTCCTCCTTGGAAGTAACCTGCCTTTTCTGCTTGGATTCTCATATGATTAGTTCTTTATCTTTGAAGATGAATGGCTTCTGCAGAATGTATCTTGGGTTCACCTTTCTATATCATTTTTTCCAAATACATGGTGTAACTTTTTGATCTGCAGATTAAAGTCTTTATTTCAGGAAACATTTCTTTCATTGTTTCTTTAAATAGTATTTCTATCACATCTCTATTTTTCAAGAAGTTGATTCTCCTTTTTACACCTTATCTATAAAATTTTTATATTTTTACTCTTTTAATGTCTTTCACTCTAGCCTGTTCCTCATGTCTTAACATACTTTTATCACATTTTCCCGCTATTTTTGGTTGTTTCTAATGTAGCATTCATTTCTGAGATGTTTTTATTTTCTCTTTTATTTCTTTCTCTACCAATGTGCTTTTATCTTCTGTTATATTTTTTTAAACCCCTGTAATATTCTTTGAGACCTATTTTTACAGCAATAATTTATGTTTAATGCATTTTTCCTTCTGATTACTTATGTATTTATTTGATTAGTTTATTTTAAATAATGTAATAAACACCTGAAAATCTAACATGAAAATTAGTTCCTTGAAAATAATCTATATCTATGTGGCTCCCTTGTTGCATCAAAATGCCTCTCTACATCCAAAGTAAGCATTGTCCTGAATCCTACGTTGATCATTTTTTGATTTATTTGTATATTGTGTCAATATGTATTGCTTCAAAGGATTATATATGTATTATAATCATATATATTATACATATAATATAATACAATATTCTTTATGTTCATTGTTTATAACTGTGTAAATAGCATACCATGTTGTATGTAAGGGACTTACTTTTTAACTTATATTGCTGTTATCCATCCATGTTACAGTGTGTCATTGCAGTCCATCTGTTTTGGCTATTGTATAATATTCCAGGGTGTGACTATACCAAAATTCATTTATCTACTTTCCTGTTCATGGGCATTTGAATTATTTCCAGGTTATTGTTATGCAAACAATGTTTCAATGAATATTCTTCCACATGTATCTTTTTATATAGGTCCCAGAGTTTCTTTGGAGTTTATGCCTAGGAGTGGAATTGCTGAGTTGTAGAGTATGTCTAAAGAGAATTCTTTATGTAACCTGCAAAACCAGCCTCCTCTCCTTTACGTAACCTGCAAAACCAGCCTCCTAATTCTGTTAGTAACATCCCAATCACCAGCTCCTTTGACACGTCCTCCCTTGCTCCCTATATCCAATTGTTTACCAAGCTGGAAAGTTTCTGCCTTCCCACGATACACCCATTTCTCCTGTTCAAGATTCATTAATTCTCCCCTGGACTCCCTATTCCTAAATATCATTGTTAATAAATTCCAGTCACATAATTTCCCTGTCTATGAGATTAAGTGGACCCATAATCCAGCATTCAAAGCTCTCCACAGTAAGGCTCCAGACTAACTTTTCTGGTTTAATGTCTCCCTATTTTGGTAGTGGAGAATGGTAGAGTGAGAAGGGACCTTAGAGATCATCTGGTCAGACCCACTTACCTACAAATAAGGGAACAGAGGCCCAGAGAGGAAAAAGGGTTTTATCAAGGTCACATATGTGATCTGTTTGAACAATTTTGTGGTTTTTACAGGTGCTTCAGGAGGAAGACAAAGAGATGCCTGTGATCTTTCATCTTGAGGTAAGGACAGTGGAGTGGAATAGTTGTAGGTAGGGAGAATGAGCATGCTTACATCATACCAAGAAAAACATTGAAACTACTGGGCAGGTAGAAAAGAACATAAAGAGCGGACTCTTCTGTTACCATGCTGAGTGTAACAATTATTGTACTGTATTAAGATATAATTGTTGTTTGGGACTGAAAGAGTGAACCTGTGTTCTTGAAGATGGTCATTGTGCCTGAGAGGCATGTCTTCCTCAGAAGAAACCAGAAAGAGGAGATGGAGGGGCCCTAGATGGGTGGTTTAGGTAGTCGAGTTGAAATTGAAATCTCTCTCCCTCTCTCTCTCCCTCTCTCCAACCCACCCCTCCTTTATCTCGCCTAATCTGTCAGTCTTGCTTGTGAAATAATAATAGTATTTATTGAGTGCTTTCCATTTGCTAACTGCCTTACCTAGATTATCTCATTCAATCCCCACATCAACTTTATGATTATTTTACTTTCCTATTATTATCCTCATTTTACAGAAGAGCACATTGAGCAAAGAAAGAATTTAGGACATATAGCCAACAAGTGAGTAGAAGGTTATAAAATGTCACTCTTCAGCTTTAGAGAATTTGAGGACTAAGAAACAAGAATTCAACTGTTTATGCTTAAAATTTGGCTGTCTTTATCTGGGGGTAAAGTGTAGACATTGTAGATGCCTTGTGGAATGGGACAGGTCTTGAGCACCTCGGAATTGAGCTCATGTTAGAAAGATTCAAAATTTATAATGTGTAAGTCTTTTACATTTTCTTCTTTGTGTTTGTTTTCCTTTTGGCCTCCCTTTCCTTTTGCTTAATAAAGCAGGTCCATTTTGTGCTAGGTGACCCTAGAGAAGATCTTTTTAGTTTGTTCACCTTGAATCAGAGTGCTTAAGGGGCAGCAGCATGCTCATGGAGGAAGAGACCTCCTTGACAAAAAAAAAAAAAAGGTGAAAGTCATGGAGATAGCCCTCCTACTATCTGAAGAGCTGCCCTGTCTCTTCTGGAGAATTCCCTTCCAGTGTTAAAACCTAGAATTTTAGACAGGTTTTAGACAGAAAGAAAATGTTGGCCTTTTGGAACTGGAATGGTTCATGATAAAAAGCAAGTAGGGAGGGTTATGGGAAAAGATCAAAGCAAAGGGTTGTCATCTTTTAACTGTCAATCAGTTAAAATTGGTAAATATTTATTGTGAGTCTGCTGTGTGCTAACCTAATCTAGACATGATCCTTGCCCTCAAAGTCAAACATCAAAGATGAAAAGGTAAATATGTACATAAGTGGATTTGAAAAACAAGTTGAAAATACAAGGCCTGTCACAAAGCAACATCCCAAATGAAAGGAACAGTTAGTAAACAGGTTCTGTAGTTGTGACAAGGAGAGAGAACTCACTGAGCTAGGTGATCTTCCACTATGAAGGAGGAAGGACTTCAGCTAGATATTTAAAAAACTATAAATGTTGGATAAGTGGAAAGGAAGGGGAAATGTCAGCAGTGGAAATGAGGCACCAGGAATATGTAAGATATTTAATAGTGGCCTTTCTGGCTTGAATTAAGAGTTTCTTTAAGGGACTAATAAGAGGTAAGGCCTGACGGAGGGCTTTGAATGCCAAGGTGAGGAGCTTTACTTCACCCTGTGGAATATGAGATACTCTCAAAAATGTTTGAGACGGGCAGTGGGACAATGAAGGTTACTTTTTAGGATGGCTGGTCAGTAGGGAGATAGGTTAAGACATTGTGGTAGAAAAACCTCAACGTTTCAACAGTAAATGAGTTTTCAGGAGATTTTTAAATGTGTCAAATGTTTAGGAAATGTGAAATTCTTTTTTTCCTTATGCTAACTGCTGACTTGTGTCCAGGAGAAAGGAGGGAAAAGAGCAGGCAGAATTTTTTTTTTTAACATCTTTATTGGAGTATAATTGCTCTACAATGGTGTGTTAGTTTCTGCTTTATAACAAAGTGAATCAGTTATACATATGTTCCCATATCTGAGCAGGCAGAATTTTATCTAGAGCAGAAGACAGTTACTTTGCTAACATTTACCTGCATTGCTGACATTTTGGGTACAACTGTGGCAGAGGCCACTTCCTGACCAGTTCTCAGTCCACAGATTGAATGTGGGAAGATGGAGGACCTTCAGAATTGAAGACAAATAAATCCCTCAAAGGCCAGTGTGATGTTTCTTCCTCTCTTAAAATGTTTCTGCTTCATTAAAAAAAAATATATATATACATATATATATATATATATATATATAGTTAAAAATCTCTCTTTATGCTAATAGGATTAGGACATTTCACGTAAAGAGAACTGGTTCCCTGTTCTTAGCTAGAAGTTTCTGTAGGCCCAACATTTCCTTTGGAAATTAAACACTTCATAGACATGGTGCTCATCTGATAAGGATACAAGGCTGTCACACTCAGGGATCAAAGTGTTGCCAAGATTGCTGATGGTGATAGCTCTTGCTGGGAATGCTCCATTACCAAACAGACATAAAGAGCCAAGTATCTGCTCTAGGCCATCAGAGTCAGGTGGGGAGGATGGATGTAGAACAGTTTCCTGGAACCAGGGATGCTGAATTGAAAGCAAGGAGGCCCAACTGGGCAAGATTTGGGGTCGGGGTGGAGATCACTGGAACAAAGAGCACGGAGAGGACTCAGGAGCAGTACTCAGGTCTACTGGTACCTAGTCCAGTGCTCTCCCCACCACACCAAGCTGTATATTTACCTATATACAGTTTAGAACCTTCTGTCACTCTCTTGCTCCCTCCTTGGCCACCTATGATTGCTTACCTAAGTGAGAAGTTTTGAGCACACTCCTATATCAAACCTGCTTTGGCAAAGAGTGGTCTGAGGCAGGCGTTGCCTCAGAATCAGATTTATATATCACAGGACTCTGATTGCCTGACCTGACATATCTTTAATTGGTCCTAACCTCTGCTAGCCATTATCCATTAACCTACCTGCCCTTCTATTTTTCTGATATCTGATGACTAAGGGCCTGTACTTGTACCAGTATGAGACTAGCCAAATCTTTGCTCCTTTGGTGTCCATACCTAGAATTGAATCTGTATCAATATGATTATTCACTTTTCATGTGGTTGCAGGTAGTTGTGTTCACAGACCACATCATTCAAGGCAGAGCTCCTATCTAACTTGTGATATAAATTTCAACCAGCAGCTAGGATACAGACCCCATGTGGCTTGGTTCCCTTTGGGATAACAGTGCTGACCTGGAGAGCTGGGATCTAGGAATCAGATCAGACCAATGGGGGATGGGTCACTGGAGAACAAACACAGCTGCAGGTTCTAAGAGCAAGCTCAGTCCTAAGAATGTGTCTGGAGAGATTGGATATACAAACACATACTTCATGATTGGTGGGAACAGGAGGTATTTAGAAATTTAGGCAGGTGGGCAGGCAGCTCAGGGAAGTCTGGAATTAGATAACAGAGACCCAGCCACATGATTCAGTTCAGGGGTGAGTGTTGATGAAGGCAGTAATGCTTAGAAAGAGAAGGCAGAGCTTTGGTTCAGGAAGAACAAGGGGTCTGAAATTTTTCCCAACCAGAGGCATAGTTATTGGCTCTCTTTAAAAGGCATCTTCAGTCCTGTCACCTTTGGGGACATGTATAATCCTTCCTCCTCTCAGCCTGTTCCTCTATCATCTCTGCCCTCTGCTATCACCCCAAATCTAAGGCCCTGGTTTGGCTCTCTGCTTACTCCATTGAGTTTTTCTCTCTTCCCAGAATGTACTTAGCAAGAAGGAGCTATTGTCAGCTTTGTGCATGTTTAGTTTGATCCTGGTTCTGGATATGTTGACCCTGGTCAGTGGCTCAGGACTACTATGTACCTGGAAGAAGAAGTTTGACATAATGGATCTAAGTAGTTTTCTGGGACAGTGATGAGGTCATAGGGATAGGAAGCTAGTTAGTAGAACTAAGGTCCCGGGAGTAAATAGACTGGATTTGAGAAAAGGGCAAAATGCTACGTGTTGGAACTGAGCCAGCAAATCTCAAAGTGATTCTCAAATTTTTACCCCCTAAGGTCAGTGTTTATCAATCTTTAGTAAGCTTTAGAACTAATGCCTGTGCAGATTTTGCCTCCAAAAGTCTGGGGTAGGGATTACATTCTAGGAATCTGTAATTTTCCTTGTATATTTTCCAGAAATATTTTATGCATATTAAACAAAAACTATGTATTAATTTTCTCCTTTTCATTCACATGGTAGCATGCCATACACACTGTTCTGAACCTTGTTTATTTTTGTTTTGTTTTGTTTTTCACTTAACAATGTTTCTTTGAGATCTTGCCATTCCTGTATATAAAGTTTCCTCTTCCTTTTTGATGACTACATAGTATTTCAGTGTGGGAGTAACCAGAGTTTGTTTTACAATCTTCTGCCAATGGACATGCAGGTCGTTTCTAATCTCTCCCAACTGTAAACAATGTAGCAACAAGTACCATGTACGTATGTCATTTCACACATAAGTGATTATATCTGGATAAATTCTTAGAAATGGAATTACTGGGCCAAACCATAAGTGATTTTGATAGATACTGCCAAATCGCCCTTCACAGAAGTTATATCAGTTTACACTCTTACCAGCATGAGCACCATTTCTTCATGACCTCTAGCCAACAAAGTATATTATCAAATTTTTTGACTTTGCCAATATGGTACATGAAAATAGTATCTCATTGGTGGTGTTGTTTTTTTAAAATTTATTTTTGGCTGCATTGGGTCTTCCTTGCTGCATGTGGGCTTTCTTTAGTTGTGGCGAGCGGAGGGCTAGTCTTCATTGCGGTGCTCTGGCTTCTCATTGCAGTGGTTTCTTTTGTTGCGGAGCATGGGCTCTAGGCGCGTGGGCTTCAGTAGTTGTGGCACACGAGCTCAGTAGTTGTGGCTCGCGGGCTCTAGAGCACAGGGTCAGTAGTTGTGGCACATGGGATTAGTTGCTCTGCGGCATGTGGGACCTTTCCAGACCAGGGATCAAACCCGT